GCCCCAGGTCCCAGCCTCTGCCCACAGCCCATCCACAGCATACATAGTCACAAAGCCTATTATGACCACCACCGTGTCACAGCCCCAGTACACAAGCTCTGTCACAGCTGTCACAGCTCCATCCAGTCTCTATCACAGCCTATGTGATACCCCGTGTCACAGCCCCAGTCCCAGCTCTGCCACAGCCCGATCCAGCACTATCACAGCCTATGTGACACTCCCTGTCACAGCTCCTGTCCCAGCTCTGCCACAGCTCCATCCAGTCTCTATCACAGCCTATGTGACACCCCGTGTCACAGCCCCAGTCCCAGCTCTGTCACAGCTCCATCCAGCTCTATCACAGCCTATGTGACAGCCCGTGTCACAGCCCCAGTCACAGCTCTGTCACAGCCCCTGTCCCAGCTTTGCCACAGCTCCATCCAGCTCTATCACAGCCTATGTGACAGCCTGTGTCACAGCCCCAGTCACAGCTCTGTCACAGCCCCTGTCCCAGCTCTGCCACAGCTCCATCACAGTCTCTATCACAGCCTATGTGACAGCCCGTGTCACAGCCCCAGTCACAGCTCTGCCACAGCTCCATCCAGCTCTATCACAGCCTATGTGACAACCCGTGTCACAGCCCCTGCCCCAGCTCTGCCACAGCTCCATCACAGGCTCTATCACAGCCTATGTGACAACCCGTGTCACAGCCCCAGTCACAGCTCTGTCACAGCCCCTGTCCCAGCTCTGCCACAGCTCCATCCAGCTTTATCACAGCCTATGTGACAGCCTGTGTCACAGCCCCAGTCACAGCTCTGTCACAGCCCCTGTCCCAGCTCTGCTACAGCTCCATCCAGCTCTATCACAGCCTATGTGACAGCCCGTGTCACAGCCCCAGTCACAGCTCTGCCACAGCTCCATCCAGTCTCTATCACAGCCTATGTGACAGCCCGTGTCACAGCCCCAGTCACAGCTCTGCCACAGCTCCATCCAGCTCTATCACAGCCTATGTGACACTCCCTGTCACAGCCCCTGTCCCAGCTCTGCCACAGCTCCATCCAGCTCTATCACAGCCTATGTGACACCCCGTGTCATAGCCCCAGTCACAGCTCTGCCACAGCTCCATCCAGCTCTATCACAGCCTATGTGACACCCCGTGTCACAGCCCCTGTCCCAGCTCTGCCACAGCTCCATCCAGCTCTATCACAGCCTATGTGACACTCCCTGTCACAGCCCCTGTCCCAGCTCTGCCACAGCTCCATCCAGCTTTATCACAGCCTATGTGACAGCCTGTGTCACAGCCCCTGTCCCAGCTCTGCCACAGCTCCATCCAGCTCTATCACAGCCTACGTGACACCCCGTGTGACAGCCCCTGTCCCAGCTGTCACAGCTCCATCCAGTCTCTATCACAGCCTATGTGATACCCC